TTCGTATGTGCCATATGGAGTGTGGCATTCAAAAGCACTCCATTTTTTTTCTTTCCTTCAAATATACTGGTTTAAAATGTGTACACTGTTAAGATTCATGATTTCAATAACTCATTCAAAGTTTTAATAGAAAGGTATTTTTTTTCTGCTTCAAATTACTGTTATTTGTTTCAATGTATTTAAAGCAACAGTTCATCCCAAAATCAAAAATGCATATCTGTCCTCTCACCTGTGGTGCTGTTTATCAGTCTAGATTGTTTTGGTGTGAGTTGCAGAGTGTTGGAGATACCAGCTGTAGAGAGGTCTGCCTTCTCTCCAGTATAATGGAACTATATGGCACTCAGCTTGTGGTGCTTAAAGCACCAAACAAAAAAACAACAACCAAAAAACAAACAAACAAACAAAACAATACTCACGATAATCCACAGACCTTGTTGTGAGCAGTTTAATGTTGGAACATTTTTTTTTCTCCTGCCTGCCATCCGTATGGCTGTGCAGAAGAAAGTGTGCATCTACTCCTAGATAAGAGGCTCATGCTTGTGACACTGCGAGATTTTACACATTAAAGGGGAACACTGCCTAAAGAATTCCAATATGCTATTCCTATGTTGTAGGAAAGTTCAATCGATATTTTTGTACATGAGCTACTCACATGAGCTACTCTCAAAAGTCTCAAAACAAGAGACTAAAATCTTAAACTTGTGATGTCATAGGGTATAACCCTTTATAAACTGACGGCTAAATAGATCTAGAATAAGATCCATAGCAGCTAGAACATTCATTCCTTTTGCAGCAGAAAGCTAAGGCTTTCGTCCTCCCTATCATCACATCATGATCACATTATGTTACCTTAATTTAAGTGCTGTAAAAACGTGGTATTTCACCAGAATTAGGCTGCACTTCGCACACACCAGAAGAATGAGGAATGCCTTTTCTCTCTGCTCATAAAAATATGCATATCTCAAAAAAAGAAATAATGTTAATAGTTCAAATAAGTTTTGGAATGTTTTAAAAAATATTTTAGAAATATTTTGTTGTGTTTCTACATTTAAAAATCTTTTGGATCAGTATGTTTTGTGTTTTTATTTTTTAAAATCTGATGAAAAAAAACATAAGAATTTTTGTATTGTTTTTTTTTTAAAATTACACAATTTCAACACTTTTATCAATTATTATGGTTCATTGACTTACATAACCTTTTGTCAGAGGCTGTACAGAATTTAGGGATATGAAGCATCTGTAGATACTCCAAGAAAATCACAATAAGCAAAATCACCAATGTCGGCCCTGGCAGAACATTTCTATTGCAGAGTACAAAGGGATAAAATCTGGAGCAGTTCCAGACTTTATCCCTTGGGACATCACAAATTGAATTCAAGTATTATAGTTTTTTTGAATTGGGGAGAGTTGCTCATATTTAATTATATTTTTATACTGTTTTAGATCATAAGAATGACATGTATGAATTTTGAAAATACGTGTCATTCTCCTTTAGTGTCATCATATATATATATATGTTTAAAAACTTAACAAGAAGGTTCATGGTTACAGGAAACATTTCTGCTGTTGAGTTTTTCAAATATATATTTTTTGAAACTCCGAGCATCACAAGCTGAGTGCTAGCTAGAGGGCAGATGCTCTACGGCCGATATTTCCAACACTCAACAACTTACACCAAAACAATCAAGACTGATCAAAAGCACTACAAGTAAAAGGATAAATATGTCTTTTCGAATTTGGGGGTAAACAGTCCCTTTACGGTGGTGACACATTGTTGTTGCACTGCTGTGATTTGGGCATCGTGATTGATGGCACCAAGTTAGTTGAAGTGTTCTCCAGTCTGGATCAGTTGGTGCAGACAGTCAAAAGATTTTATTTTTTGAGTTCAAGAGTTTTGTTGGTTATGATTACATTGCACTCACCAAAGTTATGGCTGTCTTAGAAAAGTTGTATGAAAACAGTGGTTTCAAAACTGGGGTCCTTGCCTTCTAAAAAAGGTTTAAAGTTACAGAATTGGGAGCACAGTGAAGGTTTGGTTGAATGTGTGTCCATCTTGAGGTTTTTAAATTAACTTCAGCCTCACCTGCAATACTGTCTGTGCTCCCCACCTGAATATGTGTAGTTGCGCTGTTTCTTCCTCTACTTTTCCCAACCTAAAAATGTTACATTTTATATCAATCTAAAGGTCTGCTTCACATTTTAGATTAAGTAATTTTTAAAGCTTATTTGATGGGAAAAAAAAAATCATATTATTATTTATTTTCAACTTTCACTGCTGGAAAGATGGTCTCTTCATTAAATTGGTCTGTCTGCAAACACTTTTGAAATTGGTGCTACATGACCAAAGAAAACAGAGAGAAGGGGCTGCAGCATTCACTTTTGCTCAAGAGACAGAAAACCTACAACTACCAGAATGCACTGCACTGCACAGGACTGATAAACGCTCCCGCTGGTAGGTAACATAATGCGAGCTCATCCATTTGACACAGTGGCAGCTGGCTGGTAACAATCAATCTGGAATTGCAGTTAAACAGCAAGAAAAAACATGTTTCTGGAAGCATTTGAGGCAAGAAATATGCAACTCAGCAACAGAATCTTGGTTTAAATTTGACCAACACTGCTTATTTATATCGCTTGTTATCAAATTTTTCGCCCTCTGTTTTCGCTGTTCAGGAAACAGTATGGCGCCCACTGCCTTTTACAAACTCTCGCTATTTCAGCTTAACAGGGCACTAAATTATGTTTCTGAAAACATTTCAGGCAAGAAATAGGCGGTACACGAACACAATCTTAATTTATATTCCATCAGCACTGCCTAGATTTAACATTTGATCGGATAACAGTCTCAGTTTGAGAGAGAGAGAGAGAGAGAGAGAGAGAGAGTGTGAGAGAGAGAGAGCGAGAGAGAGAGAGAGAGAGAGAGAGAGAGAGATTGGGGCGGGTTTCTCTCTTGATCTGTTTCTATACTCTTTGTGTGCACAGTGGTGGCATGGGTGGCGGGCAGTACAAATGTTCAGCCAGTATTTAGAGCAACAGTCCAGGAGAGCCAGTGAAAGTCTGCCAGATGACACATTTTCAGGGCTTAAAGTGAAAAATAATCCTGATAAATAAAAGTAAAAAGTCCCTTGACATGCTGCTGTGCTTTGATGGTTATTTACACTGTCCATAACAATAACTTTGTCAGCTGACAAACTGCACCACACTCAGGTCAGGTTTGGTCAGGAAAATACGGCCCGAGCCGCGCTCTAGCGTGCTCACCTGTCTGTGTGGCGGAACTCCACCGTGCGCGATACAGAGAGCAGAGGAGAATTGTTAACGTGTTACCATGTAGAGACAGAAATGACACGATGGCATAACACCATAAATAGTATATTGTTATGTTATTATATGAAGCGTCCGTCGCGCAAAATAATATAACTTTATTTTATAAAGAGATAAGAGCCCTCTCCTCTCCTCCTATATGCTTTACTCACAGCACAAGTGTGTGAATTGACCTGAATATTAAGCATTGGTAGCGCCAAATAATCGGTTAAAGCGCTAAAATGGGGGGAAAAAAATCAGCAGCAGCGGTCATATTTCAGTAGCGGCGGTGCACCGCTACTAGTTGCATATAGGGGAAACACTGCACGGCATGCTGCTTTCTCTCAGTGTCTGATAGCTGGTGGTCAAGCTAACACAAGCTAATCATTCAAACGCAGTTCAATTGTCCATTTCTGTTGCACATTTACCCACACTCATTTGGATATCAGGCTGTAACGGACACCTAAACAACATGTGCTTGGAAGTAGTATGTGCGTGTGTGTGTGTGTGTGTGTGTGTGTGTGTGTGTGTGTGTGTGTGTGCACGTTGTTGTTTTTAGACCCTCCCCACTCAGCTCTTATTGGCCAGCTGAGTCTGATAACACTATACTATTGGTGGGACTACCCATGTGCTTCACTGAAACTCAGAAGATGATTCGTTAAATGCTAATTTATACCAAGTTGTTGCCAAAAAAATACATAAAAAAATAAATAAACAAATACTAGAAATGTCTGTCGCCGGAGTACTTTAAGCCCTGCATTTTGCATCAGTGGGCTCTGTGCACCAGCTCCACTACTTCCTGAAAGGAAGTATGCAAGAGTATTTGCAAGAGATTAAGCGATTAATCAGGTGTGAGGCACACCCAGCACACTCCTGATTAATCACTTAATACAGTAGTAAAGGACAGGAAATACTCATGCATACTTCCTTTCAGGAAGTAGTGGAGCTGGTGCACAGAGCCCATTGCATTATCCGGTGGATTTTGGTGGGAGACAAGCAGGGAGATCTAGGAACTGGTTAGATGGAGGGACGCTTACCATAAGTCCTTTAAAATATACCACCCACATTGTTATGATACAAAGCTGGTGGGAAATTGGTGAAATATCCCTTTGAGTATGGATTCCAATTATAGGTGAAACACTGAGGAGTGACAGCAGAAGAATATGGTTTGCAGCAGATTTCTGAGGAAGTCTGACAGGAGCTCAAAGATATACAGTGTTTGCATATACATCTGTTTTATATAATGTCTTACACTGCAATTAAAATAAACCACGACAACCTTAAACCATGCAGCTCTTTAGCACATACAGTAAGCAAGTTGGTCTTGGAGTGGTCTTACAAACAAGTTGCAGACAAACAACTTTTAAGGACTCATCTTTCTGCCACAAATCAGTTTGACATCCAACAAGAAAATACAAACACAAATCTCATCTTTAGCCTTGCCTGACTTGTTGAAAGTAATGGCACTGAGACACCTTTGGACCCTGAACTGTGGTTGGCAGAGCTGTAACATTTAAAGACACAACCTCTGGCTATGACCTTTACTGACTGACCCTTCAGTGGCCGGGGGCTGAGGACTTAGACAATCTGACAATATGAAGGTGATGAGGAGGAGGAAGGGCATGAGAAGAGTGCAGCAACCAGGAGAGTTAAGCAACCTTTGCTTTAGGAAATGTCAACACAGGGTGATGGTACTGTACCTGCAGACTTCCAACAGCAGAATAGGCTGCGTAAGAGAACTGCTGCTTTGACAGGTCATTGGGTCCACGCTGATCGCACGGGGTGCCATTTGGCAGGAAACACTGGTGACTAGACCTGTCAGTAATGGTGTTTGGTGTGGAACCGGGAAGGCTGAGCAGAACTGTGTAATTGGACAGACGGACGTCAGTCAAACCAAGTCCCACCCACTGCCTGTAGAGGTATCTGGCTCTGGCTTCCTCGCTGTCATCTGATAGGATGGAGAAGGACCTGGAAGCAGCAGACAAAGAGAAGTACTTATTTTCTCATGCAGTAAAACAGTAGTTCCCTGCCACTATACAACTAGCCTCAGGTCAGCTCCATAAAGATGGTCCTACTTTCCCATACAAACACTGGACAATTAGGACTTAAAGCTGATCAAACAGTTCTTCTTGTGGTATTGCTTTTTTGCACTTCAAAAGATACAGTGTACGTCTGAGAGGAACTGAAAATGTCACCACATAATTTATTTTCTATTGGAAAAAAAAAAATCATTAAAATTTGAATAAATACAATTATGTTTAAAAGAGTACTCGGCAAATTGTTAAAGAAGAAAAAAAAAAAAGGTTAAATATTCATGTAAAACTTGGTGCCTGCTAGGGGTGGGAATCATCAGAAAACCCATGATACAATATTACCACAATACTTGGGTCATGATTCAATATTATTGCGATATATTGCAATATCTTACCTTTTTTTCAAACTGCAAATTATTATTTTTTTGACTTTATTCATTTTTATTGCAGCAAAATGCGATGCAAAGCAAAGAGACTGACCAACACTGTTGTACAACCTTTCAGAAATGCTGCATACACCTGACAAACTGAACTGTGTGGGCGAAACACCTCACATGCAGGTATCCTGCTAACTGAATGGAAAAACCCATGCTGTCCCAAGTGTTGTCTGTTACTATGACAAGGTTTTTGTCAGCACTCCCCCATTCTTGTGCTGCATTTTGCAGGAGGTCTACAATGTTTGCTCCATTGTGACTTTCATGTACTGCGCTAGTTTGGAGAATGTGAGACAGCAGTCGCCAGTCCTCTGTGAGATAATGTGCTGTTACAGTCACATATGAATCTGTTGACCTTGAAGTCCAGGCGTCACAGGCAGTGTTGGGAACGTTACTTTAAAAAAGTAATTAGAGTTACTAGTCACTTTCCCCAAAAAGTAACTGAGTTAGTAACTGAGTTACTGCACTGTAAAAGTAATTAATTTCCTGGAAAGATAACTATAGCATTACTTAAAATGCTCAGATATGTCAAATTGCTTGTACAAACCCCCTTAATGGAACTGTATGTAATGAAACTCAACACTGAATATGTTAAATGAATGAAATTGACATTTAATAGAAAAAATCATTATTATAAAACATTGTACACTTTGCTACACTACAGTGCATTGTTTTGTGTGTGTGTGTGTGTGTGTGTGTGTAGAACCTCCATTAATCACGTAATTTAAATGTGAAAAGTCTCATTGACTGACCGTCAGCTGTGTGTATGCGGAGAAGGAGAGGGGCGGAGGGAGCGGAGCTGTGGCGACATCCTGCAGTCCGACACACTACCATGCTCTTCTGCTCTGATGCAGCGGTCTCTCTGCCTGAAGTCACAGGCACACGCTGTGTAACAATGTCCTGCCCACAGCCCCCATTGATATTATTTTGTGCAACGGATGCTTCATATAACAACATAACAATATACTATTTATGGTGTTATGTCATCGTGTCATTTCTGTCTCTACATGGTCACGCGTTAACAATTCTCCTCTCTGTATCGCACACGGCGGAGTTCCGCCACACAGACAGGTGAGCACGCTAGAGCGGCTTGGGCGCATTTTCCTGACCAAACCTGACCCCGAGCCCGGTGCAGTTTGTCAGCTGACAAAGTTATTGTTATGGACACTGTGTAAATAACCATCAACAGACTGCTGTTACGCACTGACAGCTGCTGGCACAGCAGAGCAGCAAGACACTCGTGCTGAGCTTGTGTTGCGTTCAAGCGTTGTCACGTAAATAGGTCATAGCACAAAACAGCAGCATGTCATGTGACTTTTTACTTTATTATATTCAATACAATTGTATGTTCCTAAATCTTGAGACACCTCATATGTAAGCTAGACAGACATTTCACCTGAAAAATACTGTGCACACATGTACTGTATGTACTTAGTCCTAAAGAGCCCTTCTGGTGCCAGTAGATACATAGAAACATCCCAGCAGGCTGTGCTTTGCAAGCATACAAAAAAGTTTCACGCATGTGAAAATTATTTTTCATGCGTGTGCTTCACCTCCGCTGCTACAACTCCATCCTAGGGGAAACACTGCTGTGTGCGTTTTGTGCAACAGGTGGATGTTGTAGTCTACTGGTAGAGTAGAGAGAGCTAAGTAGCGTTGAAGTACAGTAGAGCAGGGCAGAGAGATGGAAGCAAAATATATTAAACCCAGTGTTAATACAGCAGAACTGGAGAGAGGGGTGAAAAATAAATAGAGGTGGGCATGGCTCAAGTAGGGCGCAAAATTATAGACGGAGAATGATTGACACATTTTTCACTTTAAGCCCTGACACTGTCATTTTTGTGTAGGAATTAAGCTACAATACATGACATGTTGTTTTAATTAATAAATACAGTGTGAATAAAGATTACATAACATAAAAATAACTGCAGTCTTTGTTATTTGATAGCTGCTTAAATTAAACAATTTTTATAGGGCAAGTAAAAACTGACTTCGAGCAAGTAGATCTCTGACCAACTTGCCCAACCGGGCAAGTGAAAAAAAACCTTAGCGTTGAACCCTGTGGAGGCTTTAGAATGGGAGTTCACAAACCAATGGATGACATCACATTAGCTACATCCATTATTTTTACAGTCTGTGGTAAAAACAGTTTCCCTTCCCTTTAAGCACCCACAGTGTCGTATTTAAAGCCCTTTAACACCTAGCTTCAGAGTACTTTTATAACATTAAATATTCATGAATAAATGAGGAACAATCAAAATTACCAAAGAAAAGATTATCTATTAAGAGTTGAACACTCATGAGCTCAGCAAATCTGCCTCATGGAGACTATGTGGGTGTGGTTTAATTAGATTGGACTCTGACAGTGACCCAGCAAACTACTACTTGTATCAAATTCTAATTCAAATGTTGCTAAATCCTGATTGGTGTACAAAAGTACAGGCATCACCATATTTTCTTTGTTTGTTAAATAAGTAAAACTTTTCAAACTTTTGCAAAGAATAGTGTGCCTTTGTAGGACTCCATCGCTCATAGGAAGAAGCTGATTGAGAAATAATATAATTTTATACAATTACGTTATGTTAGAAGTTTTCTGGGCTCATCCAACTGGTAGGAGACCCTGGGGCAGATCCAGAACATGCTAGAGGAAATATATATCTCATCTGGCCTTTGAATGCCTCAGGGTCCCCCGGGAGAAGCTGGAAAATGTTGCTTGGGAGAGGGATGTCTGGAGTCACTTGCTCAGCCTGCTGCCCCCATGACCCAGCTGCAAATGAGCGGATAAAAATGGATGGATGGATAGTTTTATAAAAGGGCCTTTACAGTTGATCTTCATTTACAGACAGGAGGTAAAGAAGGGAAAGGACGGATATGGGCCTTTCTCAAAATACCCCATACACCCTCTCCCTACCCTCTTGCATTGTGTTTGTGGGTTCATGTCAGGCATGAAACTGGGTCAGGGGTGAAAAAGGTGAGAAGGTGGAAAAATTAGCTTCCAAATGCTCATATCTGATTTCTTTTAGATTTACTCTAGCCGTGGTCACATGTAGAATTACAAGATTGCACAAAAACAAAAGTATTAATGTATAAGTGCAAATAAAGTATCTTTACATGTTCACATATGTTGTATAAGAGACAAGACCAGGGGCGGACTGAGACACAAATTCAGCCCGGGACATTGAGGCGCACTGGCCCACACACCGGCCCACACACCAGCCCACACACCGACCCACACGTTTCTACCTATAATCCTCTATACTTGTACACACTACACAAACGCTGTGCTCAGAATCAACTGCATAAGAAAATCAGCAGTTTTTGTTTAATTCCAGACTATAAAATAAATGCAATAATGAATTGGCCACAAATGGCGATGTGCTTATTATTTAACTTAAAATAAAAGCATATGACTCTATCCTAATGCATCTAATATTATGCACAATATAATTGTCTGCTCTTTTAGTCAACTTATTACTACAACAAAAAAATCCCACTTAATACTACTAAAAATGTTTTCCTCTGGCTAAAATGTAATGCATAGTAGGCTATGCCTTCACATTGCACCTGTCATATTTCTGGTCTCATCCTCCTCCTCATCACAACTGGGGTTAGTCTGTCCCTCAGCTTCATTGGCCTCGGGACTGGGAGCACCACCTAACGTTAACTGTGTGCATCCACAGGAAAAAAAGCAAGCACATATTTTCTTTTAGTACAGGTTTAAATTATAATGACTTATTGCAATACCTAGTAGGCTAGTTGGCCTCTTGAACCAGACACCTAGAAGAAATACGCAATTTGCCAAAGCCAACCTTGCTCATTACACACTCACAAACGTTAGCTAACGTTAATACACCCGCTATAATGGCACTGTCGCCTCCAGCTCCATATCTGTCGTTAGCAACACCAGCAGCCTCAGCCCGTCAACCAACGGCGCGCCCAAACAGGTCAGTTATTTTGGAGCACTTTGCTGCCTCTTCTTGTTTTTTATTCGAGTTTTTTCCACACCACTTTTTTTCTGGCTTTATCCGGTCAAACTAGCCCGGTCTGCCATGAGTAATGACTGATGACTGCGGCTGAGCCAATTAGATTTCAAGAAAAACGAGAGCCTCTTTCATATTGGAGGAGGCCACTCTTATCTCCTCCTTCAAGCATCAAAACACAAGATTGACACCTACGTCCCCATCTTTTTTCTGTGGCTTCATGCCACAAGCAACAGAGTTCAAATTACGTTTTTCCAAACAACTTTTTATGTCAGGGCTTCAGAACACTTGGATCACTATGGATGAGCATGTTGGAGATAATTTGTGGTTTCAATTTTGTGTTCTTGGACGTTAGTCTGGGGCGTCGTCAGCCATTAGGGTGTGCTAGCCGCTCCCCCCGCCGATCTCCGCAAGGGATGTGAGGACTCTTAAACTTCACCACAGCCTTCCTCAGCATATGGGTGAGTAGATAATGGCGGAATTTTCATTTTTGGGTGCACTATCCCTTTAAACAAATAAAA